TGTGAAGGATTTTACACGGATATTAGAACATGAGTTTAGTATAAAGCCATGTTTAGGCTACATAATGAATAATAGTTATGCAAACAAATGTTACAAATATGGCAAAAATGGAAACATTTGGATTCTTGTGGTATGAGACGGGCTCGTGAGCCCAATGCCGTTTCAGTTTTGCTTGACATTTGTATGCTGTTTATAATGAATGCCACTATAGCCTAATTTGTGTTTTATTTTATAGATTAATATATAATTTTATAACTACTTATTTTTTCATTCTTGTTCTGTTCTGAATACCGTTAAATTTAAATTATTTGTTGTAGACTGAGGGGAACTAAATAGGCTATAATGTTTATATTTACCAGTATTTTAATATACATATAAATTACATGAATGTAGCTTAATTGTTTGCAATTACAAGGTTAACGGGTGTTTTTGGAGTAAGATCAATTTCTCTTTGATGAGATTACTTCCTCTTTTTGGCCGGGTTTCGTTTCTCCGTGTCGTAAACTCTTGAGGCTTCTAAACCGGGGTGTATTTAGGGGCGTGATTTTCAAATGATGATTGTTTTCTGCCACCACATTTATCAACGTGCGATCATTCGTACGATGAGATTGGCGGCATACGAATGTTTCATGAATCACACGTTAACTCTGTCGTAAGTTGATTTGTGCGCACGGATCTGCGCTCGTTTCTATGTTAGATTGATAAATGAGGCCCTATGTGTTCAGAATCCCGTACCAGATTGGCTATACCCACTGTAGAATAGGTCATTCCAGGATGACACACAAGTTTTCAATACTAGCAGTAGATCCTCCAACATGTTCTCTCTGCCAAAACCCTTTATCTCTGAAGCATGTTTTATTAGATTGTGCTGGTTTTAACCCTGTGAGAGAACTTTTTCATTTTTTATAGTTTTAGCGAAAATAAATTTAGAAACCCTAATATGATTTGTTATAAAAAAAATTCTCCATGAAAATAGCCACAGAAGCTGGCATGGCGTTAAACACAAACAACCAAACAAACTTCAGAATCAGGTTTAGTACTTGATGTGAGATAATTATTGCATTCCTTATGCAAAGGCAACAAAGGGATAGGTGGTTATACTCAGCGGTTATACAGAGTCATGAAACTGAACCGAACTGCTGTAATCCTGCAGATTTTTGGCTGCCCCAGGATGAGATTTTCGGATATCCCCATGAAACTTGCCAGCCTCCTACAGCACCCTGACCCCATCGTCATCAATCATATCATCAGGTGTGTGTTTGTGGTTCCTGTTCTTAATGTTCTCTTTTGTTTCCATGCTGTTTTGAAAGATTTTTTTAATACAAAATATCGAAATATTTACCCTACCAGTCCAATGTTCAGTAACACTAATGTTTCTGAATATAGTTTGCACCGGTATATGAATTTCTTATCAAAATAAAATTGTATATATTTTAAATGGGTGAATTTACCTGAATAGGGAGGGGAAAGCAACTTTTGTCCAGCATACATATGAAGTCCTGTTGGAAAACTTTGTAAGAAATACTATTGAAAAAAGTTTTTATTTGTTTAAACAATTTTGGTATACAACTGTCATATAATTCTCATACTTTCATCTCATAGTTTTAATGACTATTCTAAAATCTAAAATGTGTAACATTGTAAAGTATAGATTTGTAGAGTGAACACAATATTGTTGTTTTTTTTGTTCTGCTTTATTGCTGTATCATTTTGTCAGTGTGGATCCCAATGATCAGAAGAAGACTGCATGCTTTGATATCGATGTTGAGGTGGACGACCCTCTGAAGGCTCAGATGACCAGCTTCCTGTCATCCACAACCAGTCAACAGGAGATCACTGCCCTGGAGATGAAGGTGTGTGTGTGCAGGGACATAAAAGACACCTCATGTCAATTATTTTCCACCCATTCTGAAGTTACTTACATATAGTTTTTAACCTAACTTTTTAATTCTCCATAAGATCCATGAGACTATTGAATCCATCAACCAGTTGAAAACCCAGAGAGACTTCATGCTCAGCTTCAGTAACTACCCACAGGATTTCATCCAGGACTGGCTCAAGTCTCAGAGCAGAGACCTCAAAGTACTTTCAGTTTCCCTCATTGGATTTCCTTAAGGCTTCTTTTATTTGCCATCCGCCATTCATGGATGTTTTGTCTTGGTTTATGCAGTTAATGACAGACACTGTGGGAAATCCAGAGGAGGAGAGACGAACCGATTTTTACCACTCACCCTGGGTCAAAGAAGCTGTTGGACGCTATATATTTTCAAAGGTGAGCACTTGGTATTTCTTTCCATTACAAGACACATCAGTGGTCAGTTGCATAACCTGCTTAGACTAGTCTTAAAAAGTTGGTCATAATTTTTTCAAGTCAGTTACAAATAGGTAGATTGGTCTAATGTGACCGATTACCCCTTGGTTAACTGCTAGTTACATTCTTAACATAGTTGCTGTGTTTATGCAACTGCTATAGCATCTATAATAGTGCAATGTTTTGATTTTCAGGTCCAGCAGAGGAGACAGGAATTGGAACAGGTACTGGGAATCCGACTCACTTAAGAGGATTCAGACTTCAAATCCACAGCCACCCGAGGAATTGGCTCAACAAATACAGATGAGAATGAAGCTTTCTGTTTGAAAACCAATGGAGGAACTTCATGTAGAAGTTTGGGTGCTGGGATTGTTTAGTATATTGCTTGTCAGTTTTAGCACTTGTACTATTACACACATCTGGCCATATAAATTTCAAATGGTTTTACAATAACTGGAACTTCAGTACGTATCTTTCTCTTTGCATTCATTTTCTGATCTTCTCTTATATAATCTGAAAATGAGGCATCCAGTTCATGATTCAGTTTGTTGACATACTCATCTTTGCTATTATTACATCTTTTTGTATATTTTACAGTAAGATATACAGTACTGTAGCTTGTTGGCTAAAACCCCTATAGGTAACTGATGCAACACAGCTTCTTTTTGTTCATAAATGTTGTGTTTATGGTAGGAATTGCCAAACTCAATCAACATTTGCCATTTAGTTTTTGAAAGGTTTCCAATTCTGACTGCAAAGGCTATTTTTACAATGGAATTGCACAGTTTTTGAGTTAAGATGCAGTTACTTATAATTAAGTAGACTAGTAATGAAAATGCAATGTTTTACTTCAATATTGTGGAGTTTTCCATTTGGTCTCTCAGGAAAATAAGTGCTGCACTGCATTCAAGAGCCATGTTTTTGTATTTCCACCCCAGCGGGAAATCCAGCACATTTGGTTGTCCAGCTGTTTTAGTTCAGTGTACCAGACTTTCTGTCTTCATCTTGTTGGTGTGTTTACAGATTTTTTTTTTTTAGCGTTGAAAGTCCGCTGCAGTGGCAGAGACCATACAGCAGTGACCGAATTTGTGAAAGGTGGTGCTTCAGGTGTGCAAACCATCAGCATATTCTTATTTTTTCAAGTATTCAAGCCATATTTATAACTTTCTAATAAGTAGTTCAGTGTATACTTCTACATTCCAAACAGCTAATGGAAAGTTTCTGTTTAAGTTGGATTTAATATGTGGTCATTCATATTGGTGGAGTCATTTGTGTTTTTAAGTATCAATGACAGCAAGTAAAATTTTCCATTAAGGAATATAGCAGGTTCAAGTTAAGCCCTATAATTTGTGACATGCTGCTGATTACCACAGAAAATACTTTTAACTTTCAGTTCATAAAGTGGTCAAAAACAAAATGTGTTGATATGTATGTGCTTAGAAATGCATTTAAAAGTTAGAATTTCATTTTAAGGAACGGGTTGAAACGATTTTGTGTTAATCGACAGCATGTCACAGATGTTGTCCATAGAGCTGAACTCTGAATTTTCCTCATTTTGTTTATAGCTGAATTACTCAGACAGTATTAATGCTGATCTGAAATGTAACAAGCTCTTGTTCCTTAGATTTTTGATTGAGCTTTTTTGTGTAAATGCATTTAAGTTCTTACAACTTCAGTTCTGTTTTATATTTTTGTATCAATCAAGTGCTTACCTTTTCTACTTTTTTTTTTTTTTTTTACTGGGAAATCAAAGTATTTTAAACAATAAAGTTTCCATAAAGGGGAATTCACATGTGAATGTATTTTTTGATATAACATAACATATTTTTATTATATCTAATGTTCTGAAAGACTGTTAACTTAGAGGAATTTTAAATGTTATCATCAGATAAAATATTTAATTCAAAAGTAAGAAAACCAGGTGTGTTTCTGTCTACTAGAAGGTAGACCATTTGCTAAAGCCAAACACTGATCATGTTGATGCATGTAGTGTCTGGTTAATCTGGTAATACCTGTCTCCATTAATACCTCACCTGTTCTACAGATTTGGAGTGGTGCATTTTAGAACAGTTTGGTTGGGGACTTTCATAGTTACATCTTGTAACACAAAACAGACTTGAGATGGCTGGAATTCTCCAGACAGATTGCACAACAGAAAGAAACAATGATCATTCAAAAAAATAAGTTTGAAGAGTCATTGTTGGTCTGTTTGTTAAAGTTATTACAATGTAAACTGTAATGGGGGTTCAAGTCTTGCCTCATACTATGGCAAGCTGTTTTAACATTTAATCCTTAAAACTTACTAGTATCTATTTTCATGCTACTGGTACTTATTTTTTAGCTAATAATATCTTTTCCATTAAATACTGGTGCTACTGGTACTTATTCTTCAGGTACTAGTACCTTTTTAAAAGGTACTAGTACATATTAAACAGGTACTAGTACTTCATTAGATACTAGTACTTATTTCAATAGTGACTTCTATTGTTACTGGCAACACATTTCAAATTTTTACCATTGATTTCTATGGGGATCTGTCATTCAGATATCAACTATTCAGTTCTGACTGGTATTTATCGCCACTGGATCCTCAAACTGTTGGCGAAACCTTGTAACTTTGCCCCACCTCCATTCAGATTGATATGTCGCGCACAGACTGGAGACAGTGAAGGTGATTTCACGAAGTACAACATGTTCCTTTAAAGGCTATGTTTTTTTGTGTGTTTGAAGAGCAGAGAAGAGCATTTGCTGTCTAGTTGTAGCCAATATACGTTTGTACGTATTAAATATCCTGTGCATATAGTGCTTCATCATTTAATATCATGAGATTTGGGCCAAGTGTATTAAACAACAAGAAAAACTAAGTGCCCATATAGCTACAATAAAAGTTATAACCTGTAATTTGATGGAAGCATAATGCGATGCACTTACTGCCTCAGCGCTGATCAACGCTGATTACGTTCAGTAGACAGCACTCGCATGCTGAAGTGTGTGTGTGTGTGTATACTAGTCAGAACTGAATAGTTGGTATCTGAATGACAGATCCCCATAGAAGTCATTAACAAACAATGTAGGTACTAGTCACTATTGAATTAACTAGTAACTAATTACTACTATTTACTGCAGTGTTTCCCAACCTTTTTTTAGTCGCGGCACCCTTTGGAAATTTTAACAAATTTGTGGCACCCTACAAAATTAATTTTGTCACAATATTTGAATTTCTAACTTCGATATGATACTTTGAAAAGTATAGATATTCGATACAGCAGGGAAGGCAGAATATACTGTCATACAGATATTTTTAATATTATAAACAAAAAATTGTCCATCAATGGTGGCAATCAGTAGGCTAATTTCTAATGAAAAGACCAATTTATATGACAGATTTTAATGTAGGCTTTTATTCATATGTAAACATTGTGAGATAGCTAGTTATAATGGTAATTAAACAAAGTTTTGATTTTACAGCTGGGTAATTTTGTTGCAGTAGCACGAGATAGCTTGATTTAAAACTTTGAATTGAATAAAAAAAAATGACAAGGAGGCCAAGCAGTTAATAATAAAATAAGAACAAATAAAGAAATTACTAATGATAGCACAAATAAAAAAAAATCACGATAGGCCTACAAATGAAATAAATAGCTTTTTAGTTTTCAGGTAGGTCAAACACACAGTAGGGCTATTAAGAGATTTCTTTTTTTTTTACCAATTATCCAAATAATGTTTAATCCTAGAAAGCTATTATCATCAGAGGACACATGAGCATAACGGTTAGCAGATCAATGAATGAGAGGGCAGCGTTACCAGAGTTGCCCATTTACCACACCTTGTTACAGCACAGTAGGACTAAAGAAAAACAATACAGAACAGAATACTGCAAAAAGAAACAATACTGTACTACATAGATGTTTCCTGTCAGCTTGATTTTTGAGTGGACTTTGCTGTTCCGATGAGCATGAACGGTATATGAGTGGAGCACTCACATGGGCCGCGAGCGACTGAGCGGAGCACACACACGCATAGAAGCGGGATAATACACAGAGTGTCACACCACGTGAAAGTGAAACCTGAGCAGTGAACTAATTCGGCAGCCGAAATTTCGGTGCATCTCTAATTATTGGCGACATTAGAAATGGATATTATATAATAGCTGCTTTTTTGAACATTTTAGCAATTTAAAAATATTAAAAAAGGTATTTTTACACGGCACCCCTGCTCTCGACAGACGGCACACCGGTTGGGAAACACTGATCTATTGAACAAAACACTATCTTTAAAAAGTTACTAGTAAGAATGTTGTCTTTACATTTATTTTGAAAGATGTAGCTCGCGATTATGGTAACGGGCGTTACATTTCCAACGAGTGCTTGCGGTGTTCGGCCAAACACAATGCACTGGGTCAGCTGGCCAATCAGAGCAGACTGCGCTTGTCGGAAGGAGGGACTTTGTAGAAAACGAAGCGTTTGAGAGAGGCGGGGCATAGAGGACCTACAATAATGTACAGTATTTGAAAAATAATGTGTTTTTTGAACATTAAAGCATGTCAACATATTCTGTTACACCAAATACACAAAATAATGATCTTTAAAAAAGCATCATATGACCCCTTTAAGAATAAGCACTAGTATCTAGTAGCCTACCCAATGAAATAGATACTAGAAGCAAAAAAATAAGTACTGGTAGCATAAAATAGCATGCAAATAGACACTAGTAAGTTTCAAGGATTAAATGTTAAAACGGTATGCCATACCCTGACTGTCCACGTACCGTTACCAATTCCGCATTATTCCTCGTGGTTAAATGCAACGACGGGAAAACTCTCCAGCGTGACGTTGGCGCTAGAGCACACATCCTTCAGTCGGCATTCTGCCCGAGGAAAACAAAGCGGAAATAGCGCCACTGACGGACGGAAGTTTGTATGTTCAAGATGGCGCTGGACGGGATCGAGCAAGTAAGTGATATTTTTCTATTAAATCGAAAAATATGAACAGCACAGTTAGCTGTGTTTTGTAAGTCAGCATCACATATTGCATATGAGGAACCTGCTATAATTGTAGTGTTTGGAAATATAAGATAGAATGGCTGACTTTAAGACGCGTTTGCTCGGATTGAAGCAGAGTTTGCTGTCTCATTGTGTCACACTGACTGGGACTGATCATAACATGGTATAACTGTTTATAACATAACATATGTTTGATTAATGTTTTGTTATAACATGCGAAATCACTAATTAAAACCAATAGAAATATTTTATGTCTTATGATAAGAGAAGAAATCTCCGATAATCACATCTCTTGAGTCTGATCATAACACAGAATCGAAATCGCTCCTATCTGGTAATAACTTCATAACAGAAATCTCTACTTTCGAAGCATAACATGAGAAATCTCTCATTACTGATCATAACTTGTTAAATAGATAATTTCTAATAAAACGTCATGAATAATCACATCACTTTACCTAGCACTGACTATTAATAAACCGATTGTTTAGGTTATTAATATTATTGTTAATAATATTTTTTTTACAGATGGATATTGAGGACAGTAAAGGAGGATCTGGTCTCCGACAGTATTACCTGTCTAAAATTGAGGAGCTTCAGGTAAGAATAGCCATGACGCACAATTTATTCTATAGATATTAAGGACTTTGCTTTTATGTTTATCACGGAAATAATTTAATTTAAAAGAATATACGGTGAACTGGTTGTAATGTTTTCAGACACTTAATAGCATGTTATTTACAATTAAATGTTATTGTTAATAATATTTTTTTTACAGATGGATATTGAGGACAGTAAAGGAGTATCTGGTCTCCGACAGTATTACCTGTCTAAAATTGAGGAGCTTCAGGTAAGAATAGCCATGACGCACAATTTATTCTATAGATATTAAGGACTTTGCTTTTATGTTTATTACGGAAATAATTTAATTTAAAAGAATATACGGTGAACTGGTTGTAATGTTTTCAGACACTTAATTGCATGTTATTTACAATTAAATGGGGGTCGTTGAACTTGTGTATGTGTTTTTTGTTTTGTTTTTTGGCCCATTTAAGTATATCTTTATGTAATTTCATAATTATATTGTTTTAAAATATGGTTAGTGTGCTGCTGAAAGTACTGACAAGCATTT